CTTTCCTTCCCACAAGGCCCTTGCTAGAGGCCAAAACAGGTTGGTGAAGATGCAACCACCAATATTTTTCATGCCCTCTGCTAATCAAGAACAAGACAAAGAAACTCAAGATACCTCTGACACAAGACTTCTATATATATCAGTGCAAGCACACCATAGAGCTTCATGGACTTAACATTTAAGGATCTGCTCTTTAACTCTTGACAGACACCCACCCACACCTGGGGGGAAGGAGGGAGTGCACCCCTGCACAGCTCACTTCTAGCTTCAGAGGGGTCTCTACAACCTTACTCTTTGTGCACTGTAGAAAACAAGTCCTCCACATCCTGTTTGTTTTCCCAAGCAGTTTTCTCACCTCTTTTCAGTCTCTCGGAGGAGGGATTTTGCAGCTTCAGGGTCATTCTTCATAAAGGTTTGATATGGAGAGGCAGACTCCATGTAACCAACCACACCTTCAACAGTCATGGGAATTTTGTCATAGATATCAGTGATTCTACAAGAGAGACGGGGAAGAAAGGAGCATTGACAAGTTAAATCTCAAAGGCAGGGGAACACAGATAAGAGATTGACATAGTGGTGAATAAAGTATCTGACACCATCAAAAGTCCAGCAGATGGAAACAACATCCAATTGTGGCATGTGGTGGCTCAGGAGCTCTGAGTGATGTGCAAAGATGGTTCCAGGGACCATCTCATATAGTCTGTGACTTAACCAGCCCTTTTGGTACAGGCTTATCTGCAGACCCCTATCCCCTCCAGCATCCAGGACACCAACACCTTCACACCACCACATCCTTTTTGCCTGCAGAGTCAGCCCCTGCCCTGTGCCTCAGTGGGGAGGCAGGCACTGGCTCCCCAGAGGTCTGGGGCATGTTTCTGCCTCACTCTATTTTTCCTTTCACCCATGAAGTGACCTGCCCAGAAACCTCAAATTGTGCTAGACCATCAACTGAAAATCCAACCCAAGGCTGCCTTGAGCAGGAAGGGTCCTCACAGCCCTCAGACCACACTTGATGGCTCAGTGCAGAGCCACATAAAAGCCAGGAGCAGTGGGAATGCAGCCACACAGCTCTGCCTCAATGCACAGGGGTTTGCTGAACCCCATCAGCTGGGCTGAGCTTCTGGCAAACCCCACTCCCTTGTGTCCTCGCTGGGCTGGAGGCAGAGCAGCCCCCCGGAGGGGCAGAGACACCCCCCTTTATCCACTCCTGGTGCTGCACCAAGGGGGTTCTGCTCACCTCTTCTTGTCTGGGAATGGCAAGGCCTCGAAGATCTCTTTGTAGTTTTCCAAGACGAATTTTAGTCTATTATGTGAGTATTTTAAAATCTGGTCCCAGCACTGTAAAGACAGTGTATTAAAAAAAAAAAAAAAGCACACAACCACTTGAAGTTCTCAATTTCCACTTACCTCAGGTTCAAGCCCAAACCTGATGCATTCTCACGTGGCCTTCTTTTTTAAATACTCGTTGCATTAAAATACACCAAAAATCTTGCTTAATGCCCAGAATTTAAGGATGACATTTTAGCATAGAGATAAGGGTTCTGCCTTTCTCCCTGCACTGCTTTTACTGATTGTGGAAAGGCTCCTTTTATCCAGTTATTAAAACACCCTTTGTCAAGAAAGATTACTAAAAAAGGACTTTTCCCAAACAGTTTATACTCCCCATTCTTTTCTCTGTGATCAACAGCAGGAGAAGTATCTTTGACAATACCAGCCCCCAGAAATGCTCTGGCACTCTTCTCACCCTACCAGAGCCTGCCCCATCAATGCTAACATCCCTTTTCTCCTCATCCAGCCAGATTTAGCACTGCTTTGGAGCCTCTAAATCCCATCTCAGCCTTGTCCTTGCATGTAACCATCCCTCTTCTGCCCCATCCTGCGCTAGGATTCCTCTCTGTATCCAAGCAATACACATTTTCCCGTGCCTAGAGCAGGAGGGGAAGCCCTGAGGTTTGGGTTCCATCTCCTCACCTCCCTGAAGATTTGGGTGAGCTTTTCGGAGCAATCTCCGTAGCGCAGGCTCATGTCCACGGTGTAGGTGCTGATGGCCACGCAGCCGCCCGGCCTCACCACCCGCTGCGCTTCCCTCATGAACTTCTCGATGTCAAACCAGTGCGCGGCCGTGAATGAGGCCAGGACGTCCACAGAGGCGTCCTGGAACGGCAGCTCCTCTGCAGGGCACACGCTGGGAGCGGGAAGGAAAAAAAAGACATCTGTGGTACGGGAATCAGAGGGTAGGACATGAAGCCAGTGGGTATTTTTTGGAGGCCATGAGGACAATGTGGGAAGGCCATGGCTACTGGAAGTGTAGGATAATGCCTGTTCACCTCAGGAATTCCATCAAATAGGGCTTTCTTTGGTGCCAGCTGGGTCTTACAACAACCATACTCACAAAACACCACTTCCATGTAAGGACCTGAATTTTGCCTTTGGCTGCGCTCATTCCCCCAACACTCACAGGTAGGAGACATTGAGCATGGAGGAGGTGTCCTTGGCCTCCTGAATCTGTGCTTCACTGATGTCTGTCCCCACCACCTTCTTGAAGTGCTCCGCAAGGAAGCGGGTGCCTTGTCCGGACCCACAGCCAACATCCACTACCAGCTCAGCAGGGATTGCCTTCTGTGGGGAGGAGGGGATGTGTCTCAGTGGGCAGCCACCCAGTTTCTGCGCTTTTACCCCACTGCTTCCCCCAGCATCCACTCAGGAACAGCCTTGGCATGGCAGAACCTGTGGAAGGCCTCTCCTGTGCCCCCATCTTGCCTTGAGCCCTGCTGATTTATCATTCCCCTTGGTACCAATCAAGGTAACACTCCCAGCAAGGTAAATACTACCACCCACAAATAAAGATATCCTCCAACCTGGCCATACCCCACTCACCTTTTCCTGCAGGTAGGCAAGGATGGTTTGCTGCAGCTCTTTGCCCGGTGCAAACCTGTATTTCTGGTAGACGGCCGCATGGCCTCTGCCCTCGAACATCTGGGTGGTCATGCTTGGATAACCTGGCACCTGGGAAGAGGCAGGAAGCCGGGTTTGTCACCATGGGATCAAATTCTTGCCGCCTACTTAGTCTGTGACCACAGGCACTAAAGCCTCCAGTTCCTGGAGGGGGCCCCCGGAGGACTTTGCCCATGAGGCTCCGGGCAGGGGAGTGTGAACCTGAACCTGCTCTCTGAGAATCCCTCCCACGGCTGCGAGCTAATCCCAGGAGGAAACCAGCAGCGTCCGATGTGGAAAAGCTTTCCAGGTTTTTAAGCACTCCTTACTCCTTTGCTTTCCCCCGCTCCCTGGGTGTTTTCTGAAATAAATCACCACTACAGTAGAACACTGTGGGTTTGTTTTTAGTGGGAGGTTTCTCTGGAGGTTTTTTGGTTTTGTTTTGAGGAAACCCATGTTTTAGAATTGACAACACAATCACGACAACTCGACTCTGCGCTTTCTCAACCAACTGGTATTTTTTTTGCCTCTCACGGACACGGCCCAGGGCGTTCCCTGGCTCGCCCACCACTGTGTCCCCCCGTGATGCTCCGGACCCCGCAGTCCCCGCACGCCCCGGGCGGTCCCGGCGGCCCAGGGCGCTGCCCGGGCCCGTCCCGCCGCACCGGAAAGCTCTCGGCCGTATCCTGTTTGTCTCCGTGCCCGAGCAGGCGCCGTGCGGGACAGCGACAGCTCCCTGGGCTGGGGACAGACCCCAAGAACCTGCCAGAAGGGCTCCCTGCCCCCTCTGACGGGACCCAACACCCTCCCTGTGCCCACAGCGAGCGACGCGAGAGCTACGAGTTTATCCAGCGAGGCACAAACACATCGGACAATCAAGGGTTAATCTGCCTTGGGTGCAGGAAGAGATGCTCAACCAGCGCGGGGCTGGAGCTCCCAGCAGGGAGCAGCAGCGCTTCCAAAGCCCTTTCTGGAGGGATCCTCCAGCTGCTTTCTGAGCGCTCAGAGCAGCCTCCTTCCCCCAGCCCCCCCGCGCCGCCCCCCGCCTTTACCGCCGGCAGCTCCCGCAGCTCCCGCCGCCTCTCCGTGCGGAGCTCCGAGCGGGGACAAAGGGGAAGAAAAGCGGGCGATGGCCGGCGCCGCCCCCGGTACCTACCGCCCGCCCCGCAGCTCCTCCCTGCCCGGCCGGAGCGGAGCCGAGGGGTAAAATCCAGAGGGCAGCTTCCAGAGGCTCATCCCGCCGAGATGCTGGAGCCCCAGAGCGTTAGACTTTACACAGCTCTGTAGTTACTAATTACAGAGAGCTTTCAAAATGCTCACGGATCCCGGAGGTCGCTCAGCAGCCCTACATCTCGGGAAGCGGATTCAGAGCCCAGAAGATGCTCACAGGGTAGCAGGAGAACAGGATGCAAAGCTGCAGGCAGCCAAAGCCATACCTACAGCGCTCTGTCTGCACTGAAAGCCCCTCCTATTGCCCGGCGGAAAGAGAACACGTAGAAATAGAGTCCCCTGCATCATCTTGAAGAGCACAGAGCGTGGTATCTCAGGAGTAGGCAATCTGCCCTGATTTGGGGCAGGATTTTACCCCTTTGCTAAGAGTAATGCTAATTCCATGCAGCTGAAGCCAGCGAGTCATGGTTCACAGGAATCACTGAGTTTGCACAGCAGTCGTGGGTCTATGGTAATTAGCACAGCCTTAAAGCCCCTCCTAACTTTAAGAGAAATCAGAGGAACTTACCTAGGCACCATCTTGAAGTAGTTTGCTGAATCAAAGCATGGGTTGGAGTTACTGGGTTTGTGTCCTGAGTGTTTTATTTGGGTCACCTGCTGCTTAATCCTGCCAGGGGTGGTATCTGGACCAAGAGAAAATACCTCACAAGCACCAAAGGTCCCTTTGTTTTCATAACCCAGCCTTTTGAGGGTTTAGATACCCTAAATTTGCCTGTATTTGCTGAGAGCATGACTGCAGACAGGAAGGGCTGATGTCCTGGGCTTCAGTCACCTGCCCTCTTCTGAACTTGGAGGCTGCTCTCCTGGGCAATGGACAGGCAGCGTTTAACTGATTATCCTCTGGCTACTGAGACCAAACACCTGCAGTGCAGAGGCTGCAAATGGCACCAGTCCTTTGCTAGCTCTCCCAACCTTTGGCACACTGGATGCAGCTGCCTTTGACTCCCTATTCCAACTCTCCTGTATTCCCCAAGTGACAGTGAATCTCCAATGGCCCTGCACCATACAGCAATAAATTAGTCTTCTCGACCTTTGGGTTGCTGAGCCTTAGCCCAAACATGAGTTTAAACACCAGCACAGAGAATCAGACACTGTCCATCATCCCTACCAGCCCACTCATTAAATCCACAAACTTAAGCAATGTCAAAGTGCCCTGGGGTCTTCCCAACTTGTTCCCCAAACCTACAGGCCATGTGGATTTGAATTATATAGCAGGGTCCTGGATTAATAGACCTCCAAACTCTGACCTTAATGCAGAAAAGGAGAATTTAAGATCCTTCGTCCCTCCACACCTGCTCTCCTGAAGTCTTGTACCTGTTGGCTCTGCCCCCTCCCCACCTTTGTGCCTCTGCAGAATGCATTGGCAAAACAGCTCCCAGAGCTTTGCTTTTCCAAACAGGACCGCCAAGACCTAACCTTATCAATGGCCAGGAGGCAATTCCTGTCCTTGGGATATAGCACTTGAGTGCTTCTGATACCTCCCTGTGCTCCTCCACTGCCAGCATTCCCTGCCTGTGCCACGTCCTCACCTTGCTCAGCATGGTGCATGACCATCCTCCTCACTCAGCCACTGGGATTTCACTGCAGCCTCTGGGACTATTTCCAGGGAGATGTTTGGATCTTTTCACTGGCAATGCATCTCACTCTGAAATTTATTAAAAAAAAACCCCAAACCAACCAAACAAAAAAACCAATCTATTTTAGGGAAAAAAGCTCAAAGGAGACTCCTGTCAGTTTGCCTGTGTCACTTGTTGATATTTTTCACCAACAGCACCATGGTTTCCACAGCACTGAAATGTCTCATCTTGATATGGAAAAAGCCACTTTGTATTCTCATGGTTCGTTTCACCGCGCATCAGTAAATATTATATTGAATTCTTTTCATTCTAGGGAAAGAGTGCTGCCTCCTGAAAACAAAACAGCTGACATCCCTTCAGCCAGATGCTTTGATATTGCTGAATTCCCTTTCCCCTCCTACCTTGTGAGGAAGAGCTACACTGTCTTATCCAGAGTACAGATGTCCCTCTCAGCCCAAGCCTGGCTCTGTAACTGTGTTCATGCTGTCCCCAGCAATAACTTTCTGGCAGAAACATCTTCCCTAATTTCACCTGGAGAACACCTAGCTGGCTTCATCACAAGCCTCATAAACACCTTCTAATTAATTATGTCTATTGCTCAAATAGAAAACTAATTCTCATTTATTTCTTGGCTCAAACACTGCCAGACACACCACGCTGCATTTTTAAGAGGGTCTCCCAATTTTAGAGGATCTGAGAACTAAAACAATTATACAAAGTCTTGCTCAGCGGGTTCAATTCTCCCCCTTCTCTGTGGATAATCCCCTACCTGGAAAACACTCCAGGTCTCACCTTCCTACACCTGTCTGGAGGAATTTCAGAAAAACTCTCAGCTCTGACCAACTGCCTCAGAGCTGCCCTTTTGGCCAGGTCTTTAAATGCAGACCTTAAAGTGGCAGCAATTCCATAGCCCACTGCTGAGGGCTTGTGACTCAGCCCCTGCCCTGCGTCCTGCCCCTGCCTGTGGGAGGAGGGTGAAGGAGGGGACACAATGACCTTCATGTCTGGGCAGACCAGTGCTGTGCCATGAAACATGTGCCATGAAACATGTATCCCTGTTTTTAGACAATCTGAATGCCAGGCAAGTCCCCAGGAACATCTGGGATAAGCAGGGTTCCAGCACACACACACACTGGAACCACCATGGCTGCTTGTGGTGAGCTGCAGGACATTATCCCGGGGAAAGAAATCCAGACCCAGTGTGTGCAGGAAGGAATGTGCTGTGCCCACCCCGATGGGAGCCCTGGTGATGTCTGGGGCCTTATTTCACCCAACTCTGCTCTGACTCCCCAGCAGGACCTGTGAGAGGTGCTGAGCCCCCTCCTGCACCGCACTGGCCTTGTGGCACCAAACCCTGCCGATGCATTGTGTGCAGCATGGAGCTAAAGGAAGAGCAGGCAAATTGCCCTGTACTATTGTTGGTTATTACCCTTCTGCCTTAAATTCACAAATTTAATTGTTTTAAATTTCATTTCAGCTTTGATTCACTCGGCAGCTCCTTGCCAGGCCACACTGGAGGAAGGATACCCAAAGGGCTGGACAGGCTGGGGCCAACCTCCCCATCCCCAGGATCCCGAGAAGAAGCCGGTGATACTTCTCTTACCTTGTGAAAACTTGATTTGCTTTCAAGATCCTAATAAGGCTTCAGCTCTTGGGAGATTTTCCCCTGTTTATTTGTTCTCTTATGGAAAAGGAACAAGATTTATTATCACAATGAGGAATAAAGGGATAGGAAAATATTTGGTATTTCTATGAGGAACTTTTTTAAACCTAGAGAGCCCAGACCTTAAATTAATGAAAAACATAATTCTCTTGGCTTACAAGCAGCAAGGCATGGATAAAATCTCCTTGTAGGGATGGGGGTTAGCCACAAATTAAGGATGTCTCAGCGGATTGCACAGCTGTGTGTTAGAGCTGTGCCTCAGGGTCTTGGCTGGGACTGGGACTGGGGCTGGGGCTGGGGCTATCCATACCTGCTCCCTGGCATCTCTGGAAAAATCAGTGCTTATGTGAAAAAAGAGCCCAGATGAATGAGACCCCGAGAAGATCAACCAGAGAGGGAGATGGAAATCTCTGCAGCTGTGACTATTTTTGGGTAACTGTGTCCGTGCCTGTGCAATTGCCGGATCCTTGCAATTGTAGCAGGCATGTCAGCTGGTTATTGTCGTGCTCAAGCACACAAAAGGCTGGGGGAGAAATAAGGGCAGGCAGGGGCATGCTCAAGGGCAGGGGAGGAAGCCTGCAGAGGAGAGCGCCCTTGACTTTGAAATCCTGCCTCGCCCCTTAGCTCATCCGGCCATAAATCCTTCCCGATGGAATGATTGATGTGCAGTGCGTGTGTGAGCTGGGAGCCCAGGCTGAGAGTAAAGCCCCAGCACTGGGATCTTCCAGAAACAATAAAAACAAGTCCTTCTCACATAATGTCACCTTTTAACTAAGGAAGATGGATTCTGAGGCCGATGAATTAATTGAAATTTAGAAGTCACCTGAGAATCCGTGGCTGAGATCTCCAATTCCCCATGCAGGGTCCAGAGGCTCCTCCATTGCTTCCTGGCTCATCTTCTCTCTTTACTCACTGACAAAGCAACACCACCACCATATCACTGTCTCTTGTTCATCTGTAATTGCACAGCCATTGATCTCTCGTTATCTGATGGCCTTAAACAGCCTGAACACCTCAACTCGCCCTGGTGGCACCACACAGCGCTGACGCCTCTTGGCCGAGGGGGTTCCACAGGTGCCTGCAGAAAAGCTTGAGATGATGATTTTGGTGTTTTGGGCACAGCTGGTTCCCCATGGGATGCTGCCAGTCCTGTCAGATTTGCTCTGCTCTTGGCTTTTACTGTTGAAATCTGTCACCATCCCGATGCAGCAACTTGGAGGGAGGGCGGGGGGGGGGGGGGTGTGTGTTTCTCTTCTCCTTACCAGAAATGTGTATTTTTGGGCACTTGAGAGCAAAGAAGGTCTCAGAGAGGGACAGAGGGCTCAGTCTTCAGCGCTTTTTGGAGAGCATCAGATGTGCAGACTGAGGTTAAACACCTCAGACCGTCCTGCAATAGCTGAGCACCTCCACACACTTCAACCTTCAGCTTCAGCTCCTGCATTTCGGGTTCTCAGGAGTCTCCTACCTCCTGTCTCCTCTGGTGGGTACAGAGTCAGAGAGGGAAGGTGAGTCCATGTAAGGAAACCACCACTGATGCTGCCTGGGTTTGTGGGTGATGTTTGTGGGGCATTTTGCAGTGCTGTGACAGAATGGTTGTGCCTCCTTTAGCCCAGCACTTCATTATCCAGCGCTCCTGGGTGTCCAAGAGAACATGATCCCCTGCTGATCGATTAAAATTTCTGGAATTAAAAAGAGGAAGAGAAATGTGAGCACAGATTGATCTTATTTCACCTTTCCTTGTGTGCACAGGCTGGAGAATATATGATAATATAGTAGATGATATTATTATATCTGCTGACATAAGGAAAAAAATCCAGTGGTGTCAGGAAGCTGCTGTAGTAAAATTAAATAACTCTTGGGGATGTACGTGGTCAAACCAGACTTGGGTCCGGCTGATGCCTGATGGGCTGTTCTGAAATGCAAACAAATCTGTGGTGATTAAATGAGATTCAGGACCATCTTAATTCAGAGTTTAAGCTTTTTCTTCTTGGGATCCCAGCTAGGCATGTGATAGGAACATTCATTGTAAGACAGGGAGAAATAAAGGGGAAGGGAGCAATATTTTAGGCTCTTCTCTTCTTCCTCCAAAAGTCCCTGCACCAAGAGACAGCTGGGTCCGTCATCCCCTGCACATTTCCCATTGCAGTTCCCAGGATCACAGCCCTGTGTCCCAAAAGCCAAGTGGGAACACACCTGGAAGTGTAGTGGTTCAGGGGGTTGGAAAGGGGGAATTTTTGGTTCTGGCCATGCCGTGCTGGCCAGGGATGGTCTGTGTCATTGGTGGCACGAGGGCTGGAGGCTGCAAATGCTGTGCAACGTGGCATTAAGGAGGGTGCAGGAGGGCACAGAAGGGTGCAAGAGGGTGCAGCAGGGTGTGGGAGGGTGTGTGAGGATGCAGGAAGGTGAGGGAGCATGGAGAAGGGTGTGGGAGGATGCAAGAGGGTGCATGAGGACCCTCTTGGAGGGTGTGAGAGGATGTGGGGAGGTGCAGTGTGCACATGAGGATGCAGTGGGACGGAGGAGGGCACGTGGGGATGTAAGAGGGTACGGGAAGATGCAGCAGAGAACAGAAAGGTACAGGAAGGTGCTTCAGGATGCAGAAGGGTGCTGCAGGGGAGAATGCAGGGGCACGCAGGAGAATATAGGAGAAATGTGCAGTAGGATACAGGAGGGTGCAGGAACACGCAGGAGGAAGATGCAGGAGGAAGGTGAAGGTGGATGGTTCAAAGAGGATGCAGAAGGGTGCAGGAAGATGCAGGAGGGTGCAGAGGTTTGCAGAGGGGTGCGAGAAGATGCAGGAGGAAGGTGCAGGAGGGTGCAGCAGGATGCAGGACAAAGATGCAGGAGGGCGGCTCCAGAAGGATGCAGGAGGGCGCAGCAGCCCGCCCCTGAGCCGCCGGCGGGGGCCGGGCCGTGCGGGCAGGGCGGCGGGGGCGGTGCGGAGCCCGGCCCGGCCCCGCTGCGGGGGAGGGCCCGCCCGGGCCGGCCCGCCCTGCCCGGCTCTCCGGCGGTGCCGATGGGGCTGCGGGCCTGGCTGCGATCGCTCGGCGGCTGCTGCGGCTGCTGCGGCGGGGAGGCGGCGCCGCCCGAGAAGGAGCCCCTGCTAAGGTGAGACCCCGGCCCGGCCCCGCGGCGGGGGATGCGCCCACCCCGGTCCCCGCTCCCCTTCCTGGCGTGAGCCCCACCGTGCCCAGACCCGCTTCCAGCACTGTCACTGGGGCTGGACATCCCCTGCCGGAGCGCTCAGGGCGCCGGAGGGATCTTCCCCGGCGGGAACGAGCAGCTTCCCGTGCCCTTTCCGCCTGGGTTGGCTGCCGCAGGGGCTGAGTTCCTCCTGCCAGCCCACGGCGCGATGCCCCCCCGGGATGCTGAGGCACCTGGCGAGGGGTGTTCTACGGGGAAGGTTTAGGGAGTGAATCGAGAGCGGCATCTCTTCGGTGTTCCCCGTGATGCCCGTCCACAGGGACGGTCCAGCGCTTGTCTTTCCATGGTGGGATTTCAATAGAGGAGGATGAGGCACTGAACAAAAAGGGATCAGGTCCCATCGTTAGGCACCTCTGTGCTTTGCAGAGCTCAGTTCTCGGGTCGGGATCTTAGAATCACAGAATTATTTGAGTTCGAAGGGACCTAGAAGATGATCTTGTTCCATCCCTGTGCCACCCCCCACTAGACCAGGTTGCTCCAAGCCCTGTTCAACCTGGCCTTGGACACTTCCAGGGACGGGGCAGCCACAGCTTTTCTGGGCAACCTGTGCCAGGACCTCACCACCCTCACAGGGAGGAGTTTCTTCCAAGCATCTGAGCTAAATCTCTCCTCTTTTACTTTAAAACCGTTCCCCCTTGTCCTATCACTATCTGCCCGTGTAAACTGTCGCTCTCCCTCTTTTTTACAAGCCCCCTTAAGAAGTGGAAGGGGCTCCCAAGTCTCCCTGGAGCTTTTTCTTCTCCAGGTTGAACAACCCCAGCTCTCAGCCTGTCTCCATCCAGGGATGCTGGAGAGGAGATGAGGATGCAGAGCCGGAGCCGGCTGTATGTGAGAGCTGCCCGTGATGATCTCCAGGGAGCAGATCTTTCTCTCGCGCTGTCAGTCGCATCTGCTTTGTGCACAGAGACGCTGACGTTGGGGGGTTGTGTGAAAAGATAAAGCCCCGAGTCGTGGAGAAGAGCCGTGAGCTGTGGAAGAATGTGAGGAGAGTCTGCATGTTGCAAAACACCCATGCAGTAGGTTTGTGGCACCTCTCCCTCCCTCCCCAGCTCCCAGCCATGGTCTCAGCACCACCAGTGGGTATCCCAGCCCTGAGAGGGGGCAGGGACTGTGCCCTCCCTGCGTCATCGGTGCGACAGAAGCACTTCAAGGGGAGTGTGGGATGCTCCCGGTGTGCCCTACATAGGTGTCAGGTAACAGCAGAGCTGGTGACAGGGCTTGAAACGTCCTGATTTCGCGCTGTTAAAGCAGGTACCTAAATAATAACCGGATAATCCCGAGCATGAGGTCTCCAGCCCAGGAAATTGGCATTAAGCTACCGGAGCTGAGCACACGTGTGGAGAAGCTCCTTCCTGGGGCCCCAGTGGCTGTCCCTCACCTGGCTCCTTTCTTTAGTAACACGCCTTCCACTGGCGATCCAATTAATGCTGGCTATAAGTAAGAAAGCCTCTATAAATTCTGGGAATTCTAAAGGCACCTGCTCCTGTACAACTGTGCTGGTATAATTAATCTAACAGCCTAATCACTGGCTTGTCCCTCCTCGGGAGGCTTTTGGGTTTTATTTCATAGCAGGCATCTTGCAATAGCTTCCTGGCTCTATTTTTATTTTTACTGCAACTTTGTTTAAAATGAATGACTTGCTTGAGATTTCAGATCTTTTAGCTGAGTTTTAGGTTTTGGGACCTGGTGTCGCCGGTGTTGCAAAGGATCCAGGCTGCCTGGCTGTCTCTCAATGTGCAAAGGTGGAGTCTGGCTTAGGTGGTGTACTCAGGATGAAAATAAACTAAATATTTGGGCTCTGAATTCCAAAACAAATCGAATGTGGACTGAAAGTCCCCTGGAGAAGAAATCGGAGAAGAAATCAGAAGAATCTGATGAATCATTAGTGCTCACCATTTTCTGGATATTTCACATCCAGACTGTGAAATGGTCTCAGTCCCTTGTGGTCCCACAGAGACTCCTGTAACCTGTAAAGCAGCTGCCGTTCATGTGTTTCTTTTTTCTCCTTCCGTTTCTTCCTTTTCAATGTTGTTTGGAAGAACTGTTGGCAGAGCTCTCCATGCCTGTATGGACTTGCTGACTCCTGGGCACTGCCTGCATTCCTTACAGACTGCTGGATGCTCCATGCTGTGATTTGGAAAGCTGGGCACTGGGAAGCTGTGAGGGAGGGAGTGGCTTGGAAAAGCTCAGGTGTGGGAGTGTTATTTCCAAATACTGGTGCTTTAAGTAATTCATATGTTAAAAGTACTGGTAAATCCCTGAGTGGGAAGAAGCCTGTTGAAGGCAAGATGGGGCTGAACTCATGCTCATGGCACAGCTGGCTCCTGAGTGATCCCTTCCAGGCTGGGATCCTGTCTGCTCCACAACTGAGAAGCAGTTTGAGCAAAGCCATGCTGGCTCCGGTTTAGGAACAGCTGAGTTGTGCCACCCCCACCCTCCAAGTTACCTTTGTTTGCTTGTCTTTAATGAGAGATTATAAGAGATTATCTTTTCCCTTATTACCTGTTGCTCAGGTTTTCGGTTTGTTGAAAGTCTAATTAACCTTCCTGCTTCAGGAATGCTGGTGGGAATTATTTTTTTCTATTTCATCTATGTGCTGGAGCTCCTTTTAGCATCTTTCTATGGCTTGGTGCCACAGAGCTCACAGAGTTATCTGAGATTTCATTGGATGGGTTCCTTGCGAAAGGAATGGGATTTGGGTAGCAAACAAAATAAACAGTGGGTTGTTCTAACAAGAAGTGAGCAGAGATTGCCACAGGGTGGCTGAGGAGACTGTTGGGTAAGGCCAAAAAATAGTTCTCCACTTATATTGTCCTGCTCAAGTGCCTGGACATCCTGATTAGACACTTTATGGAAATCCCCTGCTAAAAGTTCTCCTGGCAGAAGTTAGTATCCCTGTTAAAAAAATGCACATCCCAATAGCAACATTAATCCATACAACACAGAACTGCTGTCCATGCAGAGAAGAGCTCCCTGCCTTCCCAAGGAACAACCTTCCCAGAAGATAACACTCTGCTTTGCTGACTGCTAAACAAATAAGGCTCACACACAAACAGGCTGAGGATGTTTCTATCCCCAAATAAAGACAGGGCTAAATGCCCTTTCTGTGCCTTGGCTGCCCTTGTGCAGCTCAGCACGTCGCTGTACCTCTGAGGCAGGAGCTGCTGGGGTGGGGGCCACCTGCAGGGGTTGCCTGCTTGGTTTGTGCTGCTGGGGAGAAAGTAGAGCTGCAGGGTCCCACAGAAACATGGTCGTGGATGTGGGACCTCTGGAGAAAATCCAGTCCCACCCCTGCTCAAGCAGGGTCAGCTGGAGCAGGTTCATCATCACAGAGTGATTTAGTTTGGGAGGGACCTTAAAGATCATCCAGTTCCAACCCTCTACCGTGGGCAGGGATGCCACCCACAAGGTGGGAAGGCAGGAGGCTATGGGAGCAATGGGAAGACACCACCTTTCATCCTAGCAGATGGATGCTCCCAGTTCTTCCAGCCTAGCTGCTCAAATAATATCCAGTGTCTTTAGCAAATTCATGTGTCTCATGTCTCTCATGGCAGCACTGCCTGGTATAAACTGTGGCTTGTGTGGTCAGGATGTTTGCTAAGGTAAAAAACTCTGCCTGTCTTTTCCTCCTCCGTTCTCCCAGGCAGGACTCTGGGCTGTGGGAAGGGGCTGCCACAGCAGTGGGCACTTTTCCCCGGGAGGGTACAAGGAGGCAGCGTGGTGCTAATGCTGCCTGGCCTCTGCCCCTCTCTGCAGCAACAACAACCCCTACGCATCCTTCGGAGCCACGCTGGCACGGGATGAGGAGCAGAACCTGTGGAGCACCCCCCACGACGTGACCCACACGGAGGCGGACGACGACCGGGTGCTGTACAACATGATTGTGGTCAGGAACCAGCTGGACAAGGACTCGGAGGTGAGGCAGCGCCAGTCTGAGCGCCCGGTCTCACCGTGGACCGGCCTCGGAGCTTCCATCACCCTTTGGGCTCGGTGCTTCCACCACACCCTTTAGCAGTGCCTCTGTTTAAGCAACCGCTAATCACAGAATCATAGAATGGTTTGGGTTGGAAGGGACCTTAAAACCCATCTCATTCCACCCCCCTGCCATGGGGAGGGACACCTTCCACTAGACCAGGTTGCTCCAAGCTCCGTCCAACCTGGCCTTGACACTTCCAGGGATGGGGCAGCCACAGCTTCTCTGGGCAACCTGTGCCAGGGCCTCACCACCCTCACAGGGAAGAATTTCTTGCTAATATCTAATCTAAACCTACTTGCTTTAGCTTGAATCCATTCCCCCTTGTCCTGTCACTCCAGGCTCTTGTACATAGTCTCTCTCCATCTTTCCTGTGGGCTCCTTTCAGGTTCTGGGAAACCACAATTAGGTCACCTCAGAGCCTTCTCTCCTCCAGGCTGAACAATACCAATTCTCTCAGCCTTTCCTCCTAGCAGAGGTGCTCCATCCCTCTGATCAACTTGATGGCCTCCTCTGGACTTGTTCCAACAGGTCAATGTCCTTCCTTCAATTAAGCTGTTGTAAAGACCCCAAAGTCCCCCAGCGTGGGTCATGTAGGTATCAGGTCCTCGCATCTGTTCCATCGCCCTCTAGATTTTGTCCCAGTGTGGATGGATCTGTGGCCATCTCATCCCTGGGAAACTCGGGCATGTCTCTGGCAGCTGAGCCAGGAAGAGACACCCTGAGCTGTGATGCCTTTCTCACCTCCATGGAACTCCGAGGTTCATCTCCCTCTGTTTTTAGAATCTCTGTGTTCTCCTTGTCTCAGCTACTTTCAGTGCTCTCCCAGGGCATTATCCCATTGAGCATATATTGCCTCCAGAATCTTTTGTTCCCCACTCCAGATCCCCTTCACTGGATATCTATTTCTGTACTTCTATGATCAACCAAAACCAAGGATTATATGCCTTCCATGAAGGAGTAAGGAAACACAGCAGCTGACCCTTGAAAATCAAGGAAGTCTTAAAGCCAGTGGTGGGCTGGCTACATCCAGGGATGCAGGAAAGGACACAAGGTAAACTTGAGATGGAGATCAAGGACAAATGGACTTCTTAGGGAAGGAAACTGGGAGGAGGAATAGAAGAGACAAAAAGGAAAAGATAGTGGGAGGGAATGGGAAGAACATGAGGAAGATGTTTCACAGTGGACAGGAAGCATTTGTTGCACGTCTCAGAAAGCAGGGAGATCTCCAGGGAGGTTTCCCAGGCATTTGTTGTTGCTAGAACATGCACAGGACCTGAAACTCCCCCCACCACCAAAAGTGTTCTGGAAGCGCTGGGACCCCCAGCCCAATTTCCCAGTTTTTCAGGCTGCTTGTTTTGTCTGATATCCCCCCGTTTTGTCCTTTCCATGGACAGGCTGGCGTTACCCCTGCCTGCAGTGGCATTTGCCCAGCAGTGGCAGTGCCCGTAGCTGAGCTGTCGCTCCGGCAGCATGTCAAGTTCAATCCTTCTCCAGTGGGTTGTACGGCAATTATCGGGAAGCGGGGAACTGGCACAGCTCTTACTGTGGAAGGGAAAAATCATCACTGTTACATAAAGGCTGTTTTGCAGCCCTGATTTCCTTCGCTAAGGCCCTTCAGCTCAAAGGAGATTTCAGTGGCCTGATTAGGAGCAGGCTGTGGTGAACAGTGACACATTTTTCCCCTCTCTGCTCTGACTCCAGAATGTTTGCAGGAAAGTCTGGAGGCTTCACATTTAATTTCAACATGATCCCACTTAATCCAAGAGTCTGCAAGGATGTAACTCTTCCTCCTGTGATAGTCCCCTTGAACCAAAAGCTAGTTCAGCTTTCACAGGAAGCTTTAGACTCCAGAGAGATCAAAATTACAATTTTTAAAAGTTAAATGAGATAATGCAATCTTTGTATACAGTTGGCCAGACTCCCCATTCAAACAGCTTTTCAGCTTGGTTTAGGGCTCATGATGAGGCAGGCCTCCTAAAAACTAATATTATCTATAAAAGAGTACCATAAGTGGCCAGACTGCTAAAAAGCTGTCTCCTTGGGCATGTGTGTCAGCCTTGTTCTGGTTGCAGAGGAGAGCATCAGTTATGGGTGAGCAGGAGATTGTTCCTGTGCCTGCCTGTCCTAAACCCATTGTACTTGCCTGTCCTAAACCCAATGTGCCTGTCTATCCTAAATCCAACCCTTTCTCCCCGTCTTCAGTGTACCCATAGGGTTTTCAGTGACTCTGAGCATCCAGTGAAAAAGGAAAGCCCAAAACACATGGGGCTTCCTCTCCACAGCAAATGTAGAATCACATACCCTGTATTTTTATGCAGTGCAATGAATAAAAAGCCTTTGAGGAAAGCCAACCCACAATATGCTTGATTTGAGTTATGGCACCGTGCCCTTTGCAGCTCAGGGTTGCTGCTGCTCTGCTGCTTCCTTTTACAGCTGGAGAAACTGAGGCACCACACAGAAGCCCAGCAAGCTGTTGCAGATTCCAGCTGCAGTTCTTTCTGGGTGGCACAACAGGAGGGACTTGGCTGGCAAAGCCAACATTCCTGTGTTCAACCCTGGGCGCCAAAATCTCTCCTTACTCCAGCAAGCATTTTAAAACTAGGCCAGATTGCAGTGCCCTCCCCTCCTAATGAGACTTCAGCCCTGAGAGAGAAAAAAAGTCTAATTGCAGAACAGCTCTGGGCTGCAAAAGCCATAATCTGCTTTGGGGGCTGCTCTGTTCCCAAAGTCCCCAGGGGGAGTATGTGGATGCTGCAGGACAGGGGACAGAGGAACCGTTTCTTTGTGCAGTGCACAAGTGTTACAAAACCATGGGTCCTTTTTTCCTGTGGTTATAATTGACTGAAAGGAGAACTACTCCCTGTATTTCTGCTTTTTCATTTAGCAGAGAAGTTTTGGTGTGCAGTGCACTCACTGTATGCTTTGCTATGCCCCACCTTTATCTCAGGGATTTCCTAGCACAGGACTTTGGAAGGATCCCAAAGAGCAGGTTGCCCTACATTGTGTGTGCTTTATCTGCATGGCACCACCCCGGCAGCACTGGTGTCCTCCTTCAGGATGGACCCACACCCCATCTGTGCAGAGCTGTTTCTTCCCCCTGCCCCTTTTGACAGTCCTGCTCCGGGAAATTTTGGCAGCTCCAGCCCAAACACAGAGACCTTGGAGACCAGAGCTGTCATCAAAGCTTGTGAAGGCTGGGGCCAGTGTTTCAAATACAGGAAAAATGAGGTTTTTTTCCTCCTCCTGCTCTGCAGCATTGATGAACCTGTTGTGGTATAAAGTAAATCCTAAATCTGGAGGTGAAATGAGCAGCAAGAGCTGCACTGGGATCATTGATGGGCTAATTGTGTGTGATGTGGCAGATAGCCCTCCCACTGAGGGCCAGTCTGTGGTGGCCCTGGTGCCTCCATGTCTTCTGGTGGAGTGTGTGGAGTTACCTGAGCAGAGAGGCTTCAGAGAAGGAGCCACGGTCAGAACAGCTGTGCCACAGGTCTGTGAGCAGAAGCTAAAGGTGGGATCTGGCATTATGACTGAGGAAAAAACCCTGTTCTAACAGCTTGCTGTAAATGCAGTGTTTCTCTCTTCTTTTGGCTTATTCCCTCGAGGAAGGTGGGATCATAAACCCCACCAGCAAAGGCAATTCCTCAGCCTGTAGCCCTGCCAGCGGCCTGGCTAGCAGAGTGACACTGGCATGATCCTCCTGAAAAGCCCATTAATGAGCTGACAAGGCCTATTTTTCTTCTTCCTCCTGCTCTCTGACAGGATTATTCTTTTTTAAACAGGTTGCAGAGAAGGTCAGTATTGTGACAAGCTGTAGCTGGGGCATAGAGAGGTGATGGGATTTATCCAGGGCTGGGGATGCTGGCTGGGGAGCCCAGAACCAACCCTCTTAATGCCTGCATGCCTCTCTTAAAATGAATCCCATTTAAGCTTATGCTAAGCTGAGATGTTGGTCAATGGATCTGTAGTTTGTATTTGCTCAACTATTTCCAGTGGAACCAGAGCAGGAGCATCCCTGGATGTGGTGTGCTACCTGCCTGGACTGGTATTTTGCAGTCTTTCCCTGGTAACTCTGTTTTGACCTCATTTCCAAAATAACTCTTGAACAGAACCCCAATTGCTCTTAAGGGAATAAAGGGAACGGCTTCAGTAGAGGATTGCTTTGGCAACATGAAGAAAGCTCCCTCCTAATTAGTAAATTTTCATGTGATCAGGGATGAAAAGTTGGACAGTCCTGCCTGTTCTCTTGGCACATTTTTTTTCAGAGCTCTGAGTTATGTACCAGCCTGGCTCATTTCATGCCATTTGGCATTTGCAGATTTACTGTTTCGCACTAGAGAGTCTGGGGAAATTTTCCAGGTAAACATTTACAGGGCTGAGCACTTAGGGAAGAGAGACAGTGGGGTTTCCCTGCTGCTCCTGGGATATTCTTGACTCATACACACAGGGTTTTCTCAAGCCCCCACTGGTATATGTTGTGCCCAGCTCTGTGGGTTTAAAAGGGCAAAACTGGTTGCAAAAAACAGGGCTGGAAACTGCAATCTGCATTGGTCTCCTGTGGTTAATTCAGATTTTGGCTAAAGGGTGATTTTCTTAAAGGGCTGCTTTTCAATGCATCACTGGGCTGGCCCAGACCTGTAGAAACTCCAGGAGGGTTTCCCCAGACCAGTCTCCTGCTCTGCTCTCCCAGTCCTGTGTGTGAGAAGCGTCCTCACCGCTCCAGAAATTACACTAACCTTTCCAAGGAGCTGTGGGAGAGGAGTTTGGTGTGGAGCCCCAGCCTGCCCTGTGGTGCTGAGCAGCCTCAGCCTCGTGATGCCGCCTGGCCCCTCCAAAATGCTCCCTCCACAGTCACATCCTGGTGACTCACGGGATGTGTGTGGGGAACACCCTCCACAAAGCCTCTGATGTTGCCCATGCCTATGCATGGATGGGACAAGCTCTGCTCTTCCTCTGCTGTGTAGTTCAAGGGAGATGCTTTTTAGGATAATTTCAGGAATGGAATGATGGTCTTAAGTTTATTTCCTCATTAAAGCCACACAGAGGACAGTCCACAGCAGTCAGGGTGTCTCTGCTACAAGGAATTGCCTGGGAAAAGCCAGCATCCTCCTCCCAGCTTTCTCTATAAAAATACAAATACATTCAGCTCCATGCTCAGGCAAAAGAAATCCCACTGGAACAAGGGGTCCCTCCCAGGCACCACCATTAAGCATCATTTTCTGTACTAAAGCTGTTCCTTTGCACACTTCCCAAATTCTTCATCAACAGGACACTGTTAGAGCTCCCCTGGGACTGAATATGCATCGTATTCACTTCCATAACACAACACAGTGACTGCGGCGTACAAGAAAGCCATAACCTAGATTCCCTTAAAACAAAAATAGACAAGGGAAAACACACTGCAGTTAATCCAGAGAAAATCAGGAGCAGCTTCCCTGCATGCTAAGCACTGCTGCCGTGCTTAGCGAGGAGTCTGGCTCACTACTGTGGGGGTAAATCCCTGCAGCCCCGAGAGCTGCTGCCAGCAGGCCGCGTTCTGGGGAGAGAGGAGGATCCTTCCCACCTCCCCCCAGCTCACTAATTCCACAGTGTGAGCACGACTGGGATCACAGTGGCTGTCTGGATCGATTGTCTGCATTAAAGCACTTGTTTATCTCCGTGGGAGGGCAGAGACACACAGCTTATTTCCCCACCAGCATGCCCAGACTGGCTCACTCTCCTTTCTGCTGGTACCAAGGGGTCATGGAGGGCTGAGACGTTTCCAAGGAATCCCTGCCAGCAGGGACCAAGGCATCATGCAGCTTTTTAGTCCCTTTCTAAAATTTTGCAAGTTTTCAATAAACTTCCCACAAAGCTTTAACACAATAAACCCCCTCTTTTCTTTCCCACTGAGAGGAGCTCAGTTCCTAGCTATGAGCTGGGAGAGGAGAGTCTTGCCCCTGCCTCATGTCTCTGGTGAAGGCCTGAGGAGCCGTCCCGGTGCCTTGTGCTGGCAGCCAGGTGCCCTTCTGTGCAAACAGGAAAGCTTTTTTCAAGTGCCACTGCAGCCCAGAGGGAAATGTGCCTCTGGCTCGTGGGGAGCAGCAGCACAAAGCTAAAGCTGAAGGGGATTTTGCTCTCTGAGAGTGAGTGGCTGCAGGCAGAACTGGTTTCCCCTGCTCTCCTGACCTGAAGTCACCAGTGTCTTAACCCTGCTGGCTGCTTTTTCCAAACTGTAATCTCCAAGGGCTTCCTGCAGGCTGATCATCAGGAAAACAGGCTTCGTTTTTAATTTGCTGCAGTTGTGGTGTGTCAGGAAAAAAACACTAGGGAATCTCCAACTCTTTATGGAATCAAGTCAACTCTTTGAGGCACCAGGTATCAGAAAACAGTGGGATTTCTAACTCACAGCTGACCTCTGTGGAAATTGTTTATCCACTCTGAACCCAGAGTGTTGTGTAGGAAAATCTCAGGGTGATGGCACAGATTAACACCTGTTTATTCTACAAGAGTCCGTCTAGGTAATCTGTTGCTGAGAAATGAGATTAATTAAGGTTGTTAGTGCAAGGAAATTACCAGGGTGATGCTGTGACCCATTGTGGGACTGCTTCTAAAAATGCACCCTTTGCAGAATGTGCACTGATTAAACTCAGCTATGAAAAGTGCTCCTGGTTTTCTTGCAGAATGCATGCATTTCCAAAGGAATGCTTGCTGATAGAATCATGGAATCAGGGAATCATTTAGGTTGGAAAAGCCATCTAAGATCATCAATTCCAACTATTAACCCAGCACTGCCAAGCCCACCACTAACCTTGTGCAGGTGTGTTTAAATGTGCTGGTGTGACTTTAATAAATAACCTCAAACCCCTCCCTCTTGGGCAGTGTCCCATTAAGCTGGAGGTCCAGTGCAAGGATTTCAGCTGTACAGTGAAGTGAGGTATTAACTGCAGCAACTGGCAGCCACTAAGGGTTATTATGTCAGATGACTCTAGTTCAGCCCTCAACCATCCACGTGCACCTCTGTTCTCTTTAAAAAAAGGTATCCCAATATTTTAGAAAACTCTATTTTCTTGTTCTCTAGTACTTTCAAACACCTGCCTACTCAGTTCAATGCCAAGCAGAGGGCTGAGCCGTTTGCAGAAGCCCCTGTATGGGTGACCATACTGAGAGAAGTAACTTTTTTCCGAACTTCTACTTACCCGTGGCTGTAAGAAAATGTGCTGTGCCAGTTTAACTGCAAGAATATGAAAATAAGGTGTTTCAATGGTTTATAGAAGGTATTTATTAACACCTGATTGTGCCTTCCCAAGCAGTAAAGGCCAAACAAGGTATTTTCACAGGCTCAGGTTTTGATTTTTAGCTGGGGTGTCAAAGTTTAGGGTAAAGGGCTTTGAACCAAAGAGACTCAAGTCTCCCATTTGGAAATTCATGTTGTTCCCCAGCCTAGGAGAGCATTCCAATTTCCAGCACAGAGCTGGAATTGCATTCTCCATGTCTGACTGAGGAGACCACTTCGGTTGCCAGCAACACCTAAGCTAAATTCTGTCATTTCAGGGTGACTGGAAGCTGCTTTGAACAGAGATGTGGTGCCAAATATCAAGCTAAATATTCTGTGCTGATCACTGTAATTTTTTCCAGGGGCAACAAGAGCCTGGTTGTTGACCTTCATACCTCAGTGCCTACATTAACAGTGCAATTCTGGCTCCATTCCTGAAAGTTGAAATTCCTTGAAAAGCATCAGATTGAAATGACTTGAGTGTCTCTTATCCCTTTGCTTTGCAGGAATGGCAAAAGCTCAACTATGATATTTATACCTTACGACAGACCCGAAAAGAAGTGAGGAGCAGGTGGAAACACATTTTGGAGGATTTAGGTAAGCTAGGGGACAAAAGGATGTAATTTCTGTGGTACCAAACGAGGGGTTCCACCATGGTTGAGGATGGGAACGGCTCCACAAAATGAGGTTGGTAGAGGAGAAATGGAGGAAAATAAAATGAGGTTGGTGCGCAATGCCAGCAGATATCCCACATGACATCTGTGAGCCTGTGGGAGGCTCCCCAGGGCTCAGGCAGGGCTGGGAGGAGACAGGAACACCGTGTCTGCAGGCACGTCAAAGAGCCCATGAACCACGATCACCTTCCAAGCCCATAATAGATGCACAGTCATCCATTTCATGCTTCCTTGTGGAAACTTTGCAGTGGGAGTTCACCCTGGGTTTCTCTAAACAAGATAGGCAGGAAGGAATGAATATTCCTTTCAGATAGGAACACAGATACATCTATTTTGCTTCCTTAGCCTGTGGCAGCTGATCAGAGCTAAACCACTTACTTTGTTTGCTCCCAAGTGAATTTGAAATATTCTTTCAGCAAATGGAATAGCTCCACAGAGGCCCTCCTACTCCTGCTGTATCCAAGCTCACAGTGAGCTTCCCCCAGTGGTCCCGTGGAGAAGGCAGTGGTGGTTGTGACACTGGGGTTTTCCCGAGTGCCTGGCACACAGCATGTGACACCTGGGATGTGCCATGCAGGCACAGCAGCTGGTGACATGCATCATGCTGTGGAGGTGGTTGGTGGCTGATGAGAGGAGGATGTGTGACTCTGTTCAAGGACATCATCCCTTGGAGCCAGAGATGGTATCTCGGCCGCTCCCACCCTACCTGTCATTCTGGCATCTGGGTGGGAGGAACATTATAAATCCATAACTAGGCATCAGGGTTCATCCTCACCCCGGTGCTCACATGGCCTGTACAGGCCAGACATGGGAGGGATCACTTGACATCCTTCCATCTCTCACTGCACGTTGACAAAGGCTCTCCCACATCTCCCTGACATCTGCCATGGCTCTGGAGCCGTTTTGCAAAGGGTGGGGAAGCTCAAGGCCAGGGATCATTTGGGCATAGCAGAGCCAAACATGCAACTAGATGTGAAACCTGCTATCTTTTGTTATCTAGACCTCTGCTTTAATCATAAGACCACCACAATGACCCCATAAGTGTTTTCATGTGAGATGCATCACCACCAGCCCCCTGGAGGTGAACAAGGAGTTGGTGGCAGCCATTACATTTAAAAATCTCTGTATTCATTCTCCTCTCCTTTCCCTTCCTGGATACCCTTCCTATAATCAATGCTGACTGCTACAGGAACAATTAGCTGTGCATTCATTACTGCCACAGGTTTTATCACTGTTACCCAACTACATACAGGTGTAGTCACTGGGATGCTCAGGAAGCCCCACCAGCCCTGAAAGCTCTGGCAGCATCAGGAATGTGGAGGAGCTGAATCAACACCCTGGGTGTGCACATCCATACACTTTTTCTCAGAAAAACTAGTAATGAACTCTCTCTCTGAATGCTTTTGTGATTTTTTCCTCCCCACTAGCAAGTACATATCTGCCCCAAGTGCAGACACAGGGCCTGCCAGGGAGAAACACTAGTTTGTTTCAGGAAGTAGAGAATGCAGCCATCCAAGACAGAGGGGGAATAAGGAACCTTGCAAGAGCCTGGGGGCTCCAGGATGACCCTGCTCACATGTTTGACTTGTTTCTGTAACACATTTTTCTCCAGGTTTCCAGAAAGAAGCGGACTCCCTCTTGTCAGTGACCAAACTCAGCATCATCAGTGACTCTCAGAACATGAGCAAAGCCCGGGACATCTTGTTAAAGCTCTCGGAAGAGACAAACATCTTCCCGACCAGCTGGGAGCTTTCTGAGCGCTACCTCTTTGTGGTGGTGAGTACTGTGAGCATGCCTTTCATGCCCATCATCCCCAGTTCTGCCAGTGAGCTCACATGAAGGGAAGCAAGTGGGTGAAATGCACCAGAGCATGCTCAGATACATGGTGGCATCTGGGGTGATCCTGGCTGATGAGGCCCTTGTAGCTTGGTGGTTCAGCTTCCTTGGAAATGTCAGTGTTGTTGCAGCATGAATTTCACACATGCCTGTAAGTTCCTTTAATCCTGTGCAACTGGATGCTCTTGCATCCTGTTAACAAAGTGGGAAAAGATTAGACCTAATGCCTTGCTTAACCTGAGAGTGGCTGTGGAGAGAGGAGATGTTAAGCCATTAGAGAGTGTCCAAAGGAGGGCAACGGAGATGGTGGAGGGCCTTGAGCGGAAGCCATATGAGGAGCAGCTCAGGGCACTTCATCTGTTCAGCTGGGAGAAGAGGAGACTGAGGGAAGACCTCATCACACTCTACAACTTCCTCAGGAGGGGAAGAGGAGAGGCAGGCACTGATCTCTTCTCTGTGGGGACCAGGGACAGGATGTGAGGGAAGGGCCTGAAGTTGTGTCAGGACAGGTTTATGTTGGATATTAGAAAAAGGTTCTTTCCCCAGAAGGTGGTTGTGCACTGGAACAGGCTCCCCAGGGCAGTGGTCACAGCACCAAACCTGACAGAGCTCAAGGAGCATTTGGATGATACTCTCAGGCACATGGTGTGACTCTTGGGGATGGTCCTGTGCAGGGCTAAGGGTTGGACTCGATGATCCTTGTGGGTCCCTTCTAGCTCAGCAAATCCTGTGACCCTGATCAGGGAGCTGCCTGAAACAGCCCACAGTGACCATAACCCCCCTTTCCTTTGGCAGGACCGGCTCATAGCTCTGGATGCTGCAGATGAGTTCTTCAAGATGGCCAGCACGGTGTATCCCAAGAGACCCGGCGGGGACAGAGCGGACGAGAGCCAGAAGGCCCCGCAGTGCATCTCTGTGGTGGTGCCCTGAGGGACGTGCCTCACCGGCGTGAGATGGACAGCGGGACCGGGCCCCTCTGCCGAGGGGTCAGCACGAGCAGTGCCGCTCCTTGTTCTCCTGCGCAGAAGCAAGCGGGGCGGCTGGAGCCGAGCACGGAGGGCAGCGAGCTGTGCCCCACCGGGAGGGCACGGAAAGGCGGGTGCTGGCCCCAAGGTCCTCCCAAGCAGATGGGAACATGAACTGCTGTAGAGTAGCCCCAGTGGGAGAGCAGTAGCCAAGTAGTGTATGTGATAGGCACGGGGGGAATCTGCCATACATGGCCTTGCTACCATAACTGCAAAGGTTGGGATGCCTCTAGTTCCAAGCGCTGCGAGGAGATCCGCTTTTCCGCCTTCCATTGGGACCTGCCACTGCCCCTCCCTCTACCCTTCTAGCCAGGAGGACCAGGGAGAGAAGAAAAATTCCTCAGTCATCTGAAACTCTGTCCTCTTCCTCATCCCCAGCCCATGGCAGTCTCCCCAGGCAGGTCCCAGAGGATCTGGGAAAGAGGCAGGAGCAGAGCGTAGCCGGGAGAGGAGTAAATGCCAGGCAGCAAAGCCTTGGAGCAACGTCACAGTTGGGTGCTATCCCAGCCATTAGTGCTTTGGGGGCCTTTGTGTCAGGGTGCTCAGCCTGACATCTTAAAAGAAGGTAGAGTTTAGGAAGGTGCCAAGGTCAGAGCTGCTGAGAATTTGGCTCCTGTAATATCCTCAGGTTGGCTGTCCAGCATCTCAATTAATTTCTGAAGGTTTTGGTCTTAATTGCCTGAAAAAGTCCCACCACAAAGCTGCATGTATTGTCAGTATAAAAATCCTCATTATCAGCAGGGATGATATGATGAACATCCTTTATATCTTGGGGTTTTATCTGATAACAAGCAATAATTTTAAAACATTGGATTTGGTAATTTAAAAACAAGTGGAAGTCCTTCATTGATTAACACACATGCTGCTAATTGACCAGTTGAAAATGCTGGTTACACAGGACCTCCCAAAGCAGCAAACAAGAGCTTTTATTTGTTTATACCTACAGTGTTCAGAAGATATAAATATATATTTATGAATTGTTTCTGTTTGTCAGTCTTCCTGGGGAACATTTTTGTCAACTCAGAACGCCAGTGAAAACTGATTTTAATAAACAAAACATTACAAAATCAGCCTTTCTTACTCTCTCTGTAACCCTATTCAGGTAACAAATTTATCTTGACTGCTGATAGCAAAAGGGTTGGGGTATTTGCAGAGCCTCTGCAACCTGTTCTCCACACAATTTAAATTGCCTGTTGACTTACAAGAATTGGGTTGTTTGCCAGCCTAAGACCAAAGTCTTTGTAGGAGATGATGGGGATCAAATTTAATTTCAGTGGGATTTGGCATTTCCTACTGATTTCTTTTTCTTCTAACAGAAGTTCAGCTGCACTTTGGAAAACCTCCCATGCTTTTATAGAAAATAAACTCCGGTGCACAACAAATCCAGGGTTTGACTTGAAACAAATTGTTGCAGAACTGAGCGGTCTGAGGAACTCTGAGCCAAAGTATGTGATGCCACCCAAAAGTCAGCCCTTGGCATGTTATCACTTTACAGTACTATGTGTTATTTAAAACCACCTGATGAGTTCCAAAATCTCAGGGGAAGAAGACAGATCCTGTTACTGAGCTGCCTGTTTTGGTGACGGAGATTGACACCACACAGCACCTTTGCAGAGCCACCCCTTGCTGTCACTTGTAGCCGTAAGACCCGTTCTGATGTCAACAAAATGCATTTTGTTGAAGCTTAATAGGACAAACTGCCCCAAAGGGACAATAATCAGTAAGTCTGAATGAGTTTAGCTACCGAAATAAGAGTTTCTGAGCGCGGCCACAGGGAGGAGTAGGAATTCGCAGCAGCATCGGATCGGGGCGAAGCCGCTCTCAGGGTGGAGTAACCAGGCTCAGGAACTTGTGCAGCGGCTTGTGTACCGATCACAACAGGAACAGAAAAGGTCTGTCAGTCCCAGCACTCAGATAAAACTGGCATAGGGTATCCTGAAACCACTGCAAACCAGCCTTTGGTTAAGTAGAAGGATGCAGAGCTACTGAAAATCTGCAACTTGAAAAACTCCAGAAACCAGCAGAAATTGTTCCATGTAGGTTCCAGCTCAAGTTTGCCATTCTGTCCATCTTAGTAGGAAATACCTTGTATTTCGTGCACTTGGCGTAGGAGACCAATAAACCATATTTCAGTTAACAAAGTGCAAAGAGTAATTTGCCTTTTCTAAACTACATAGAAATTACCAGGGAGATGCATGACTTAAACTTTTGTTTTGCTCAGATTTGGCTGTGTCTCGAGGACCAGCAGGAGAGGACCCTCCACCCAGGGACAGCACATGCTCACCATAAGGTTCAGGCACTACCCAGTTGCCCATTGGTACTGGGCTGCCAGTCAGAGGCTCCCTGGTAATGCTGCATCACCGCCACGGTCCTGGGTCCTGGGATTCATTTCCCAACACAGTAATTATCTTTTTTAAGGTGAGTTTGGGTTTCTGGGCACCCCCGAGGCCTCTTGAGCCTCCCACATGACCTCTGTCACACCTGGACACTTGTAGAGGCGTTTTGGGCATCCTACAGGTCCCAGGTGCCACTGGACACCTGCACGTGGGGAGGCAAATGCTGCCCACGCCCAGGGAACGTGCCAGCAGCGCCTGGGAAGCAGTGGCTGTAGGAGAGCCCAGCGAACACCAGATGCCACTGTTCCCTCAGCTGTGCTCCAGAGTGCTGAGGTACAATGCAGGGGAAATTTTCCCGACCTTTTCCTGCATGCATCGAGTCTCTCAAGCCTGCAAGAACTGGCTTTCTGTTAAAGGTTGGGGTTTAGACATTAAATAATTACTCTACCGCTTTCCAGAAGACAGTGGTGAGCCCATCTCTCTTTCAAAGGTCCACAGGGCTGGGGCCAGGGCCTCTGCTCTTGCTTGGAAGTGCCACTTGGCCTGAGGCTGGCTGCTGCAGGAATTAGCATGTTCACCAAGAACATTTATTTTTCTGAGTGGAGGGTGACTTTGGCATCCCTTCCATTACCAGGAAGGGAATAATACCAAGGATTCTTTAAAATGAGCAATGTGAGATGGTTTAAAGTACATTTGGGTTCACTTGGCTTTCACATACCTTTTTTCCCCTCACCTTGACATTGTATTTAACTAATATTTAATTGCAAAAGAAAGAAGAAAGGAACTTTTTTTTTCCATCCGTAAGCCACAAATGTGCTCCACTCAGTTTCCTTTCAGAGAATCACAGAATAGTTTGGGTGGGAAGGGACCTTAAAGCCCATCTTGCTCCACTCCCTGCCACGGGCAGGGACACCTTCCACTAGCCCAGGTTGCTCCAAGCACCATCCAGCCTGGCCTTGAACACTTCCAGGGATGGGGCAGCCACAGCTTCTCTGGGCAACCTGTGCCAGGGCCTCCCCACCCTCACAGGGAAGAATTTCTTCCCAATATCCAATCTAAACCAGACCTGTTTCAGTTTTCCTTAAGCCACAGGCAAAGCGGACGTAATTAGCACAATTCATGGGATAACCTGAAACAGAAACCCCCTGGTATGAATCAGGGGAGCTTGTTTGCAGTGAGAAATCCTGATTTATACCAACCCATGGTCTAAGCTTTATCTTCCACCAGCACCCATTTGGTTATTTTGCTGTTGAGCAAACCTGCAAAGACACTTGTGCTTAATAGTTGGCCAATATATTGTCTTAACAGTGCCTGAGCAAAGTATTTCAGTCTTTTGGGTCCTGGTGAGCAACACTGGAGAGTTCCCTTCCTCTAAATTACAGCTAGAAATTATGTATAGTACAGTCACCATCTGTAATAGAGACCAGCTAGAAAAAGAATCAATTTACAGGCTGTCTTGACTGTGCATGTGCACACATAGTTTCTCCTTTGTATTACAAGTTTTCCTAGGACATACATCATGAATTTGGCAGGATGAAGAAAAAAAGAAAAGAATCGTGGTGGAAATTCAGCTGTGAGCTGTAAGACAGGCAGAAGGTGGCAGTGCAGGCGTTTGGTAAAGGCTGGAGCAGCGGCAGTCGAAGGAGATGAGACGCAGTGGCCTGGAAGGAGCCCGGCTCATCCATTTTACTTGTTACGGATGTAAATCACACCTTAAGTTCTGATAAATAATGAGAATGGACACGGGAAAGAAAACTGTCATCTTTTAAATTTCAGCTATAGGAAAAATTACCATTTCAAACTGCTCAGTTTCAATCATTTCTAATGTCAGAAATTCCAACACTTACATACTCTTCCTGGAGGGAAAGCATGTACTTTTCTAATCTAATGAGGATCAGTAATGTTGAGTGACTTTCCACAAAATTACTCTCCAAAAGCCTTCCTTTGAAGACAAGCAGATATTTTTGTATGGGGAGTCCTTGTTAAGCAAGTTATGGATTATCAAAAACATTTCTTTGCCTTACAAATCACAGACCTTGAGGACACATCCATAGAGAAGCTGTCCTTGCACAAGGGAGGCCATGGAGAAATCTCTTTTAAAAAAGGCACTACGACAGGACTTGCATGGCCAAAAGCTTGTCTGGTTTTGTCCATCTTGTTTGGTCTAATGCCACCTCTCCCCATAAACCTTATCTTTACTCTTACAGAGAACGGTCATTTTTCAAAGGGATAATACATTTAGGTGACTACTTTGTCTTACTTGGATTAGGAAAGAGAGACATCATGGAGATGGTGGGCATCATTTGCAGGATCTCAGCAGCATAAAATAAACAGATTGAGGCAGTCAAGCAAAGAGCCAAATGGCTGGATGGAGACACCCGGTCTGGTGGAAGGTGCCCCTGCCCATGGCAGGGGGGTGGAACTGGATGGTCTCCGAGGTCTCTTCCGCCCTAAACCATTCTATGATATCAAAGCAAAGACAAGAGGGCAGCAAACAGAGGCAGATAGGCCCAGCCACTGCCCAAAGGCAGGAAAGAGTACTTGGGGTGTGGAGAAGGTTGTGTACAAGGGGTGCAGTGTTATGCCAAACCCCATCGTGATGGTGTGTCATGTGGGCAGCACCAGCAGGATGACATGTGCTCGTACATGCCCGAGTAACCACCGCTAAAATCTCTGCCTGATGACAGCCACCAGCGGATCAGAAAGAAGAGATTTATGAAACCATGTGTTACCAGAAGTTTATCCTTCCAAGAGTGGCAGCTTTATATCTGCTAAGCTGCTGGGATTCTTTCCACTGGCTTGAACTGGGTTTGAGTCAGACTTTGGAGACACAAACACCAGAGCAAGTCCAGACACCACTGGAGTCATAAACAAACCTTTTGCCAGCTGCCCATCTACTCCTCTTCTGCACCAAAGTCTTGAAAATAACAGCTATGGTTCCTGAGAAGACTTTTTACAAACAATGAGAGGATCTATCTGTACTTGTCTGAAAGAAGAAAATAAACCCCAAACAATTTCTTATGGCCAAGGGATCACAATGAAAATCCAGTTCAGAGGAGAGCTCATGAGGTCCTCTCAGCCAACCTCCTTCTTGCTGGAAATAATCTCTCCCCTCCTGAAAATGGCATGAGCAACTTGTATGGAAAACATTGTTGGCATACACAGTGTTTCCTTCAGCCAGAGTAGTGCTGGTTGGTACAGAGGAAATAAATTTCTTTTATTAAGTGAATTAGAAGATTAGTGAAACCTCATCAGGTTTGGAATTAATTAATCCCTTCATGAAATATTCCTAACTCATGTGACCAGTGCTAGGTTAAAACTGTCACTTCCATTCTCCTTTAGGTGAAGGAGCTGGAGAGAGGAGTGATTGGGAACCTGTAGCCATCCACCAGGCCTGGGACATGCCCTGTGGGGTGATCTGGTTGTCAGGGATCCAGTGGCACCTGTGGAGTCAGCAGTTCTCCTTGAGCCATTTGGGGATGGAGTGGGAGGAAGGGAAGGGATGGTTGGTGATAGGGACTTGGCCTACAATTTGGAAACTCAGCTTCCATTCCCAAACCTGCCCCATCTCCCTCTGCCCGTCAGGTCATCCAACAACAGGACTGGGAGGTCATGCCTACTAGAACTGGTGGCAAAATGGTCTTCATGTGCTGGAGGTATTGTCAAGGTCTTGATCTTTCTGCATATGTCTTCAAGCAAAACTTTGTATCTCTCAAATGTTCACA